ACACTGTGAAGTAAGGATACTGTCTGAATCAGAACAAAAATAAAATATCACGCATTGATGTCGTAAGTATGTACCTTATTAGACCGAAAGTTCTCGCAAAAAGAAGACGAGGGCATTGTAAATATTCTAGGTTGTAAGCAGTCCACGAGATTAACAAAAATAATAAAATGGATCCACGTTATTCTGATGTGTCGCTTATTCCTTCTCTTTTAAAGTTGATAATGGCTAAGTGTATGAAATTACGATTTAGGTGTACGGCTATACTGAAGAAGTGCAAAAAGAACTCTCTTAGACTATCAGTATTTTTTAATACGTATCACATGGGCATTTGTCATATTTTATTAACAGCGGTTCCATAACACTAGGTTCATTATTTCAGAATTGTTCACTGAGCATCTGGTAATCACCAAGACTGATATTAATGGACAAATCTTTGACAGTGGAAATTTTTTTGACGACAAATACAACGGAGAAAACTAATCTTAGAGAATTATAATACCCTTTTAAACACAATAAACATGGAACAACATGTCCACCAAGTGGTGGAAGTAAGATAGCTTTCGGCAGTACCTTGGGAAAAAAGTCACCAGAATTATCAAACTTATAAACAGCTAACCAAAGCAGAATATTACAGAAAAAAGAATCCTACAAGATCAGTTCCCTCAAAGCCAAAGGTTGGTATACAGATTAAAATGAATAATTGCAGCCTTTAAGAAACACGTTTTTCCCCATGAAACAATTTTCTACCAGTTTTGTGAAAATGCTGTGCTTAGTAAAGTATGGAATGCGGTTCTAAGGTCGGCAATTTCTTGCCTGTTCATATATATAAATAAATATTTATATACATGACATGTTTGCAGCATTAAAATCGGAGGACATGGATGGTTTCTTGATGTACATAAATGCAGTAGAGAACGCAATCACATTACGCGTGAAACAAAAAGTGATCAAAGGGATCTAACTGCGCTGAATTACAGAATAAAACGGAAACAATATTGGAGCTTAAACATTGGTGTTTGTAGGAAACTTTAACGCCAGAATCACTACTCAGACTTTAAATCATCTTATTCTGTGTCAGTTAAAGTAGGTTTGGTAAAATTTTCAAATAACAGGGTCAAAAAGCCCATCTACCTACAGAAGACCTGAGACAAGAAATCAGATGCATTAAGGATACCTTACTAGAAGATAATCACCCTCCTAAACCGTTCAATAAGTTCACTTACATGAACAGACAACAGTTATATGAGTGATGAATTCATCAATAGGTCAATTTCTGTTTTGTTGCAACGTGGAACTGCTGATATGGTGGTGTATTTTCATCTTGCGCTACATCTAAAAACTGATTTTGAGTTCGATAATAGCAGTAGAAACCTTGAGATGAACAGAGTGAATTGAGTCCCCAATTTTACCGCTATTGCATGCGTTTTTCGTTAATTCAGATGTTGCAACATAAGTGCATATAATAATCCTGTTTTTAAAAAAAATATGTTTAACTTGCAATGCCATCAGAGTATAAGATAAGTAACTCACTTGTGCATAACAAGTTGGATAAGTATCTGTAAGCTCTAGAAACGTCACTGTTTCTACGGCCCCGAAGCAAGGAGGACTTTTTGAAATGATTTTCTGATATAAGTTTGCGACAGAATGCAAGTACATCATCGACTCTAATGAAATCATCACGGAAAATCAACTTGAGGGATTACTCTTTTCTTGACTTCGCAAGTCAGTATACGACTTGTGAAGTAGAGTAAGTGAAAACAATACTTGATCTCTCATTTGAAAATCTTAACCAGCAGTATGACATGAAGATGCTTTAAGTCTCAGTAAGTTAAAAAAAATGGTTGAGTTGAAAATTCTAGATAGTCGCATCAGTTATTGTGGCTTGAAAATGAGTATTACAAAGATTGAAATGTCTGGGTTCAAAAGAAGCAGGAACAACTTTGTGAATTCTAGTGTAAACTATTTCTGGGCAAGCAATAGCCCTCCAACACAAAAGATTCACTAGTCCATTACAATTTTTTGCAAATGTTGCCAAAAATTATCCAAAATATTGTACAATTTATAATGTTCAAAATTTTTATACGTTCACACGAAACCTAGGTCCAGGGGTTCCTGTCGATTGACTTCAACCAACTAACAAAATTTTTAGTCTATTCAAGCGCAGAAAGTGTTGATGCATCTTAACATAAAAAATGCTTTTTTTTTCCAGTTTTATTATATGAAACAACTCTGTTATTATTTACAAAAACCTGTACCAAAATGCATGCTATCAGGGGTTAGAAGTTATAAACTCTAATAAAGTGGACATATAAAAGAATACTGAAAAAAATGACTATTAGAACACTTTGGTAGCCATTTCATAAAAAGACTTATTATATCTTCCTAGGATGTTTGTCGTTCAACATTAGAAACTGTTAATAAATTGAAAGATGTTTACGCTACAAGTGATCCTGCTCCATAGTCGTAAACAGATGCTTTAATAATCTTGGTCATTATGAAGTATAGTATAGTATATATATATATATATATATATATATATATATATATATATATATATCATTTCAAGAATGTTTCACATAAATATAGAGGGAAATGCGACTTATTTGATTTCCGTTTTTGGATGAGTTTAAGAAAGTGGAATTGAATAAAAGGTCCGCTTTTACTTCTAAATATACAATACAAAGCCAGAAGAAATAAATAATTGCAAATATTTAATGTATTGTACGGAAAGTCATTGCTGCTCCTACCCAAAATGACAGTTAATTTGAAAGAGGTAATAGTTTGATCTTTCTTTTTTTTTCGTAATACTAAAGTGAGTACTTGTTTTTATCCTCACTTATATATTGATGAAGACGAATGCAGCAAATTAAAAATGACAATCAACTTGTGTCCCAAACAGTCACAAATCAATGACTACTATGACTGATATTAAAGTCATAAGATTTCATTCCCTCCTTTGAGGATACAGTTTGGATTAAGCTTTTTCTACTTGTTGTTTGCTGAAATTCTGATTTTCATAAAAATGATAATATTGATTACTCGTTCTACTTATATGGTATACCAGGTGGTTAGTGTTTACACTTCATAGTTGGTACCTTCAGTGTTATTGAAAATAGCTGGTTTAGTGTACACAAATGATTGGCAAACAGATTTGATTTTAAAAAATACCATATTTCCTCTACAATATTTGGATGTCTGCCGTTAATCAGAAAGCTTCTAAAACTATATTTTAGTGACGTTACCTATGAATGTTAGACGGTCACAAAATTACGATAGGAAGCCAAACTACCCCCTGGATATCGATTGACAATTATTTTACAACAACATTTATATGAACGTGGATAATAACCATACAGCACTGTGTTTTCCTTGTGAATAACATAATTTACAGGAGAGTATTATGTACATGTAAATGTACTGCGCTGTTTCGCTGAATTTTACATGAGTGCAAGTTGTTATAAAAGGTGTATTATAGCCGTGAAGTAATAAAATAACTTTTGAACAGCGACCACTTTTTTCTCAGAAACGTTATAGAAATATTGAACATAGACTATTGAACTCAGCTTTTCACCTATCATTTCAGAAACGGGAGGCAAGATTGTTGGGAAAAGGAAAGTGGTTACAGACATCACAGTTCGGCTGAATTATTTATTTTCCCTCGAGTCAACACATACAATTTCTGTTTGAATAACTGAACATATGACTCTTTGATCATTCACTAGAAGTTAGAATTATTGATGAAAGATGAGAGTCTAAATCATATTAGCATGAAGAAGCAACTTCAAAACTAAAATTTCCCTCTAACCCTTACAGATGGTAAGCTTTCATATGAATTTCCTGAAATTCTCATGAGAACATCAGTAGCTTTAATAAACTCAGGTGTGAGGACATATACTGGTCAATAGCACTGAATGATGGTGGCGCTAAATAACGAACAGACAGAAGTGGGAAAATATGAACGACTGGATTCTCATTCAGCGGTTCGACAGAAACGTGCCCACAGTGAGACCTGAAGGTAGTGGGTTCGATATCTGGTAGGGTTGTTGTTGCACACTACGGCTAAGTCCACTACTAGGACGAAACATTTGTTCAATGCTCCCACGTTTTCAACTGATGTCAGTTCACGATGAAAATAACCTTGAAATCAATCAGTTCCCACAAAACCTCAAAGTAAACTATTTTCTCACTATGTGGAGAATGAGAACTGTCCCAGTATCCAGAGGTAGTTGATTTGAATATTGGACTCGGAATACAAAGCCAAATTCCAATTGTGGATCTTTACAACAGGCATCGAGTAAATTGTCGTATGTTTGATTGCACCTGTTACAGTGAAGAGTGGTGGGAAGACTAAGATATGTATCTTGAGGTTCACGCTGATACAATGGAAATTCAGTGTGCTTCAAAAGCAGTAACTATCAAAGTGAGTTTTGTAAAGTCCAGTACAATTTTTCTCCATTTAATTTTTTCTCTTCTTCACCGCTTAATGCTTCTTTTTGTCAGAGGTCAAAATAAGTAAATTTTTGATTGTTACAAATAAATCCTCTATTGTACTATTGTATTTATTTTCCTTATCTTTTGTTTGTCTTTTTACTGCAAATCCTCATTTGCATTACATGGATTCTTTTTATTGGTCAGTGTATCTTGACCCGAGACCTGATATAGTTCTTCGTTTTACCGTGGATTGGACTTCGGAATGTTTCTATGAAACGTTAGGTTAAAGTAAAGCATGAGTGATTTAAGTTAGGCATTACTTGGATCTTTTGGCAAAGATCAGCTTCAGATGCTGATCATAACCTTTGGGAATGTCGGTTTTGAAGATATAAATGGAATGTAATTTAAACAACATTCCTTACATTTTTGACAACTAAAGTTAAAGAGATAAGGTACCCATTAAATCGACAGCGTGAATACTATCCCTGATATAAAAGATCCCATATATGTATAGTATTTGTAGGAAAATTGTGGAGATGAAATCATCATAAGTTATTTTTAGAACTTACCTTGATTATTTTATTTTGTAAATGCAATCCATTCAGTTTCCCGATTGCCTCTTCAGCGTCTTTAGGATGTACATAGTTGACGAAAGCGTAACCCATGTGTTGACCTAAATAAAACCGATAATAATACAAATTCTTAATTATTTTTCAATGCATGCAACTATTTGGGACAAATGGTTTAAGTAATAAACTACACAGTTCACTATAGGACAACTTTTGCAGTTTTTTCAGTAATCATTGGAAGTCAATGTACTAGGCTGTAAAATGTGGGTGACGAACGAAATGGTACATTTTCATGACACAGTAATTGACAGTAAACCTATATTTTGCAGTCTTTTCGGAACAGCAGTAACCAGATTTAAAATTATCAGTAATAATATCCTTGACCTAAATACTGAAAACTAAATACCCACAGTTCTTTAAGTTCTCCCTATCTACGGGAATGGTGAGTGACAACTACTGACAGAGCACAAATTCTTACAGCCTACCTGATAAGATATATATATATATATATATAATTTTAAGGGCAAGTTTAAAGGCCACCCTAGTAACTGTTGAGATAACCAATTAGGTTTCTCTATTCTGGCTGGAAGGCTAGATTTCCATAAAATAGAGAAATCTAATTGTTTATTTGAGTTGTTGCTAGGGTGGTCTTTAAAGTCACTCTATTTTTAACTTCATAAAATCAATGAGCATGTGTGTATACAGGTATAGAACCCCATACGCAAATCAAAGTAATGAGACTGAAACTCAGACTATTATACAACGGGTCTGATAAAAATTAATTTCATGCATGAAGTGATTTTCATTTAAATATAAGAATAAATAGGTTTCCAGTATTTAAGTATATCTAATGTTTTTTATACGGATTATGATTTCTTAATAGCATCCAAAGATTGTAATACCACTACATACACGAATATATATACTGAAATGTCAAAATACACTTAGCAGCCATGAGCACATTCGTACAGCAGTTACAGAGCCATACCTATTTTAGGAGGGTTAGTTATACTACCTGGCTGCCAAAACCTCCGCAGACAGAGCAGGGCTCGAACTAGTCATCTACCGGATAAACGTCACCTCCCTAGACCAATGAGTCACAGCTCCGAATGTTTTTTATGTTTCAGTTACATTCTGACCTTTATGAAAGATATTTTACTGAATTTGGAACACGACAAGACGTCAAGCTAGCCAAGTTAATGTTTTAGTTCAAACGCGGAATGGTTTTCCCATTCAAAAATTACGGTAAAAGGCGAATAAGTTAAAGTGAACAAAATAAGACAAATAATATGTAATTTGAGTTTTCAGACTTTCGGAAAATAGTAACATCCAGTTCTAAATTGTGTACCTTCATGGGTCAAAATAACATAATTTGTCTACATGTTACACCAAAAACCACATTTAATTTTTCTTTCCCAAGAATAAATAAGCCATAATATCCCACTAAAAGAAAAAGTCAAAGCATCAATATTTAAGACATCAGGATAAAGAATAAAGTACACCCTTGCTTGTTCCTGTTCAGTGAAAAATTTGGTTATACCAGCTGATAATTCAAAGGTCAAGAAGTGCACTTCAGGAAAGACAACAATTTGCCAACGCCAAAATGTATCATATTTTAGCATAAAGTAATTCAATGAGTAAGTTTTTTTTGGAACGACTCCCTTTCAACTGCTATATAACAGTACTGGTCGTAACATGACAAAATTACCTCATCATAACGTCATCAAAATGAAGTGAATGTCTTGTGAGGAAATACTTTTACTTTTACAGTCAGAAAGGCATAACATAGTTATAGGAGTATTAGGAAAAAGATGCAGATAATCACTGTTCTTTAGAAAATCTTTCCACGAAAACGCATCTCGAAGCAGATCACCCCTATAAAACTACCCAATAAATGATAATCTAATACAGTCGGAAAGACATCCTATGGTTTTGAATAACAAGCTATTTCCTTTGAAAACAGCTGGTCCAAAGTATGACGGCTAAACTAACAGTATCAGACATATTCATGCCATCTGGTTTACTTGCACATGTGCAACTGGTTATACAGTCTTTAATCAGCTCAGTCTTTCCAAGTGCATCCTCCTGCACTGGCATAATTAGATTTTCAGAAGATAATGAGTGTGTGCCAAGTTACAGTCCTAGCCCCAACCATTTCACTTACCACAATATTCCTATAAAATGCCTTACAACGTCAAACATAACAGTAATTCAACAATGAAATGCCAGATACTCTTACAAAGGGGGAGCTAGCAATTTATTATTATTTTTATTATCAGTTACATTCTCTGCTTCATAATTCTTCATTTCTCATCGGCTTTAGCTTATGATTTACCATCCTGCATCTACGTAACTTTTTATCCCTTATTAAAATCTGCTACTAATTTATTCCAATTTCTATTTTCTTCATCATGACTTACTACTTGCTTCTACAAATACTCCTATTATTATACAAACTTTGACTTTAGGAGTAACTTATTGTTTTCTCTTAGTGCATCCACTTTTGATGACCCAATTCTGACCTATTAGCCAGTCAAGGACGTACTTGCTTGTTGTAACTATAGATATAATCGTAAAGTCGCTGAGAATGACTTAACAAAAAGAAAAATTTCCTCGCTGGATTAATTTATGCTAATCTTCCTGTCTCTACAGGCCAACTGTTTGACTGAACCACATTCATATCAACTCCAGATGTCGCACATAAAGCTTCTCGCTAACTGATCGGTACCGTATGGCACCTATTCTATACGGAAATCTATTGTATTACCAGATTTATTTCGTCATGTAAACTGGTTCACTGCTACACTATGTTTAATCTCTATTGACTAACTGCTAACTAGGAACTTAACTGTTGGTTTATTTATTGTAACTGTGTTATTTGTTAACTTTTACGCTTTTATTCCTCCTTAATTTATCTCCAAATCTAATGCAACCACCACATTAATGTATAACTCTGATTCAGCATTTTTAACACTGAAAGTAACTTACATAGTATTCTATGCATAAAAACAACAAGCTGATATACTTAAATCACATTATGAGCAATGTATTCAAAAAATCTCTTTCACTGTAGCAGAATTATTGTTTAACTGGACTGGAAATCGAAATTATCAACCATAACAATGAATGTCTGTAGATATGTACATCAGACTTCAAGTCCTTGCACATTCAAAAATGGTTTGTTAAGATTAACTGCATTGTTCATATCAGAAAATAAATTTGAGGAAATTCATCGTTAACTAACAAAAAATACCTCTTTTGAGTGATTATCGTATGGTCGCTGCAGCAGTTATATCAAATGTTTCGACAAAGAGGCCTTGACTAAAATTACTTATCATATTTCATTCTACTAGTATTGGATAGTAGATTAATTGTCGTGTAGTAAGAAGACTCTTTGATGATATTGCAAACTGACTTTCAACCTTTAAGGTGTTGGAAGTCGTCAACTTGCAGGTGAAATTAAGTAAACCTTCCTTAATAGAAGATACTCCTTCTATTATGAAATCCGCTGCAACGCCATCAGAACTCCCCGTTCAAACACATTTAAAACTAGAAATAGGTTTGCAATGAATATCATGATTTCTTTTATCCACATGTGTGAGTCCAAGTTCGTTATATCTGAGACATAATTTGTACATTCATTCTATGCCTTGTTAAAGTGTGGCATATTCATGTATTAAGATATTCTGGCAACAACTGTAACTTCAAAATGTTTGTTGCTACCTTTAAACGAAACTAATTAATTTTGTCCAGCGAATGATTTGTTTTTCAAATCTTTCAGGGACACCGAATACGCGAAAAAATAATGGTTTTATGCTTTGCGATTAGAGAAATGAGGACTTTTTTCATTAAAGCGCTATGCACGCTAACGTTCAGTCACTTTGCAGACAATGTTAACCTTCAAATACTACACTGCTTTATACATCAAATAGGTGACTGTGAAATATATCCCCTTAAACATTTGGCATTATTTTTAAAATATAATAAAAGTCAACTAAGAACACAACTGGAGTTGAGAAAAGGATTTGTAACGAATTTAAATTAAGTTCTAAGTCAAATTAACAATTTAGTCAAGGCTTTTTCTTTCATTTATCTATATAAAATGAAAACAAACAGTGATTTAACATATATATAATGGTTTGAATACACTTGTTCATTGAGTTTATCTTTTTATATGCACTTATGTATGAATTAGTTTTAGTTTCTAGAATGATATTACTTTAGTTGACAATTTTACATAGCTTGTCAGATCATATTTGTACAGTCAAATATCACGTCATAGAAAAGTAAACTATACAATGGTTAATCACACAGATTGCCCTGTTTTACTTTATTTTGATAGTTAAATGCCGGATATCAAGTGTATCTGTATTTACAGTAAATGGCTAGTATAAAGTCAGTTAGTTGGAATGTAGCATAAAAGTTGAATAAATACTGTTTTGGTGAAACTTAACGTCAGTCAGTCGGGCACTCAGTAAAATTCATGAACAAAGTCCCCATGTTTGTTTGAGGTTTTGAAAATTTGAATTTCAAGGCTGTCTCCTCATGCTAAAATCAGAAAATATAACACTAGAGGCTTCATATCATTAATGACTCTGTAAGAAGCCACCACGTATATAAAATGACCGGAATTATGAAAGCTGTCTTCTAAGTACAAATTTGTATCCATCTCGCAAGTAATTGCATTAGTGTGAAATTTGCCAAAGTTCGAAGCGCAGATTTCTCATACATATCTGGTAGCCTAAAACCTTAGTTTACAGTTTTATGATGGTTACTGATAAATGAATAAAGGGTGATCAGTGTACTTCAAATTGTCACATCGCTTGACTGAACAGCTATACCTCCAACCATGATCGAAAGAATTCACCTAATAATTTGAAATTGACATAGTCAGCGATCACCATTTAGTGGATATTTCATATCATTCACATGCTTATAGAAAATAAAATGTTTTGTACTTTTTACTCCAAAACTTTCTCCATTCTTTTTCTGTTTAATTTTATTTGTCGATATTTGATAATAATGTCAGTTTAATACCTTTCTATATCACCTGATGGATGGTGTTAAAGAATGAACAAGTACCTACGTGGTTCGTCTTAACTTT